AAGAGTAATTTATCACTGTCTATGATTTAGGCGGGGAGAGAAGAAGTTGCAACTAAATTCTAGCTATGTTAGGGGACACCTGTGAGAATAAATACCTTCATCAGCCTTTGAAAAGACTGGTCAAAACTGCCCCCCCCCAAATGCTTTTGTTCTTTTTGCATATAATTCTAAATTGTTTTTCAGAATGACTTTACCTATACACGGATCCACCAACAGTGAATCAACATGGCTGTTTTCCCACAACCTCTCCAACATCTATTGTTTTCTTTTTTTGTCATCTTTTTGAATCTGACGGGTTTGAGGCAGAATCTCATAATTGCTCTAATTTGCATTTCCCTAATTAGCAGTGATTTGGAGCATTTTTAATATGGTTTTTGATAGCTAAGATTTCTTCTCTTGAGAAATGCCTGTTCATATCCTTACACCATTTATCAATTGGGGAATGACTAAGTCTTGTAAATTTTAATTAGTTCCTTATATATCTTAGAAATGAGACCTTTATCAGAGAAATGTGCTACAAACATTTTCCCCAGGTAATTGTTTCCCTGTTAGTCTTAGCTTTATTGACTTTGTTTGTGCAAAAAAAAAATTGTTATGTAACCAAAATTATCCATTTTATCTTCTATTATCCTCTCTACCCCTTGTTTGATCATGAACTTTTCTCCTATCCATAGATCTGATATATAATTTTTTCCATGTTTCTCTAATTTGTTTATGATGCAACCTTTTATATCTAGATCATATGTCCATTTGGAGTAAAGTTACTAAACTGTATGCCCTCTGACTTACATTACTGCTACACTCAAAAGAGACCAAAGATATAGGAAAAGGTTCTATATGTACAAAAATATCAACAGTGGGGATTTTTTGGCGGCAAAAAAAGCCCTGGAAACTAAAGAGATGCCCATCAATTGAGAAATCATTGAATAAGTTGTGGAATATGAATGCGATGGAGTTATGTTATTTTAGGAGAAATGAGGAAATGGATGGTTTCAAAGAAACATGAAAGATTGATATGAACTGAAACAAGAGTAAAATATACAGACCCAGAAGAATAATTTATACAATATAACATCAATATTGTAAAAACAAGTAATTTTAAAGACTTTTATAAACTGATGAAGAATGAAATGAATAGAACCATGAGAACAAACAACTTTGAAAGATATAAGAACTAATATCAATACAATGATCTTCCGTGATTCCAGAAGACCAAGAATGAAACATGCTATGCACCTCCTGACAGAGAGGTAACAGATTTAAGATGGAGAATGAGACATGTATATTTTTGCATATTGCCAATGAAGGAATCTGTTTTGTTTAACTCTGCATGTTTGTTACAAGGAATTTGTTTTTTTTTTCCTTTGTTTTCAATGGGGTTGAAGGTAGATGAGAGAGAAAACAGATTTCTGTTCATTTTTTAAATTAAAAAATAGAGAAGGGATGTGGAACAGATGTGGAACGTTGCTTGTACTTTCAGATGAGGTCACTATATTGTTGTTTTGCTTAATTGTTTTACTTTGTTACAAGAGACTTCTCAAGGGTGAAGGTAATCTATAAATGTTTGTAATGTAAAGCCAAAACACATCAATAAAAGTTAAGAAAATTTTTTAAACAGGTATTCTACATAAACACTTACTGAATGGATGAATGAATGAGCAAATGAATGAACGTTAAGGTTAGTTTTAAAGCCTTTGGGTGACATATTCTGCACTTGACATAATATAATATATATCATTGCTATTTCTCTGCATATTTCATAGGGTTTATAAGAGAAAGGGACCTCACAAATGCAGAATACTAAAGCTAGAGGGAACTAGCAGGTTACCCACCCCTGAACATTATTTGAGGATTTCCACTGATGAAGATACCTAAATCTTGAGGCAGCCCATTCTTCTGAGTAGCTCTCTGATTTTTAGGAATTATTTTTCTTTTTACTGAGTCAACACACTCATTTTCCAGAGCTTGAAAACCAAGATCCAGAGCCCAAATTAACAGAGGTAGCATGTAAAAGAGTTGTATTGTTAACCCAGACCCTCTGTCTCCAAATCCAGCATCTCTCCTACAAGGTGGGCTGCCAGAGCCTCACCAGCAGTGAGCACAGGACTGGCACACAGGAGGCACTCAGGGAGCGTTACTGACATGCTGACATAACTGGGAAGCGGTCATGAGATATAGGCAATGACAGGGAGGGATGAGGTTGGGGTAGGTGCTCAGTGTCATTGACACAAATGTACATCTGACAGAGGCAACTTTTCCAGGCAACATAGACTGTGCCAGTATCCATCACAGGAACATCTGTTTCTAATCTAACACCCTTCTGAGTCGTCGTCATCGGTGTCCAGCCTAGGACAGAGTCTGGTATTTTTAACAGACTGCTTAATCAGATGGTGTCATTTCTGAGTAATTTCTTACATGTTTTATCTTCAAGGCTAAAAACAGTCTAAGCACCTTTAATTGATGAGGCTGTCAGGAAGGAATGGATGACAAGAATCCTTTCTTTTCACTAGCACTAGCATGATGAGGCATTTCACACTTTTAAAACAGTTTCAAATAAACCGATGTAGAATTCTGATTCCTTGTTTTGTTAGCTCCCTCTCTTGGACTATTTCTTTTCCTCACTCCCCACATCTAACCAGTTGCTAAATCCTCTTGTTCCTAGCTCGGTAACATCTCTTCTGCTCATCCAGACCTCTCCATTTATTCTGCTCTCACCCTAGTTAAAAGGCCCTTCTCGCCTCTCCCCTGGCCCACACATTAGCTCTATAATAGTTCTGCCTCCCTTTATTCTCTCTCCTCTCCAATACATCCTCCATGAAGCTACCAAAATCATCTTCCATTTAATGCACTGATTTAATGAACTCCCTTTTTGTAATAACTCCTGTTTCTATAGTGCTTTCAGGTTCCTTACAAAACCCCACGAGGCAGGTAATTTAAATGTCACTGTCCCCATTTTAGAGCTGAAAAAATTAAGGCTCAGAGAGGCTATTTTTAATTATGAAAAAGTATTGTCACAGACATGTATTTATCTAAAGAATATTGTACTTGAACAGGCTATTGACTATAAATGTATGAAAAGGTTTTCTCTCTGTCTCTAAAACTCCACTCAAAAACATATATGGCTCCTCACAGGATAAAGTACTCCTTAAAGTGGCATTCAAGATCTTCCACAATATGGTTCAAACATACTATTCTAGCTACTACTTGTCTGGTTTTTATCTGATTCTGCCCTTCTTCCACCTCAATGCATTGATGCAAGCCATCTCCCATGCCTAGAATTCATGAGAAATAGCTTGCACAAATGTACAGAAGTAGTGCTACCAAATTATAATGTGATATGGGGTCATTTTACCTTTCTTAGCCTCAGTTATCTGAGCTGTAAAATGGGGATCGCATCCATACTCTGTTTCTCACAAGTTGTTGGGAAGATAAAGAAAAGATGAGTGTAAAGTACTTTGCATCCATAAAGCACCATAGACATCCTATTAAAATCCTTCTCAATCCCCAGTTGAGTTTCTACCTCTTCCTTCAGGAATCCTCTGATCTATGCCTCACATCTCCCACTTAGAACTAGTCTCCCTTCTGAACTTTTCTTAGAGCACTTTGTCTAGTTCTGCTCTTTGCCATTATAGGTGTATATATGTCCACATACTCCCTCCTATCGTACTAATTCTTCTTACAATTTGATAACAGGGTTCGTGCTATATCTTATCTTTTTATCTCCTGAATCTAGTCAGTCAGTCGATTAGCATGTATTAAGTGTTTACTATATGCCACGCACTGTGCTAAGTGCCAGGACTATAAGTGCTATATATAAGCACTTTATATAAGAAAATGAAGCTCAGAGAGGCTATTTTCAAGAAAAAGTATTGGCACAGACATGCACTGGTCTAAAGACTATTGCACTAGAATGGGATGTTGATTGTAAGAGTATGAAAAGGTTCTCTCTCATTCGATAGATGAGGCTTGTTGTACAACTGTTGTGAGAATCAGATAATATCTGTAAAGTAACTCACACAGTGCCTGGCACGTAGCAGATGCTATATAAATGCTTATTCCCTTCCCTTAAGTGGGCTGTCCAGGGTCACACAGCTAGTAAGTGTCTGAAGCATCATTCAAGTTCAAGTCCTCCTGACTCTAAGTCTAGCACTCTATCCGGTGCAGCCCCCAGCTAGCTAGCTAGTATAGAGTAACCTATATATTGAAGAAGAAAAAAAAAGCCTTCACCCAACTTATGTAAACATGCAATTAAAAAAAAATTAAGATCTTTATGCCATAACAACCCATTTAATTTAAGAATCATTTATGAAGCACCTATCCAGGCTCTGCTTGAAAATGAGGAAGCTACAGGGATGAATAAAGTAGAGTCTGAGCCCACAAGGAATAATTACAAAATAAGGCAAAATATGATAAGAACCAAAAAGAAGGTTCAAACACAGGGGTAAAGAGGCAATAAGGGGTAGTGCAAAGAGTACTAGATTTAAAGCCAAAGAACCTGAGATGGAGTCCAGGCTCTGCCATTTAATACTTACTTACCTGTGTGACCTTGGGCAAGTCACAGCTACTTCTCTAGGCTTCAGTTTCCTCATATGTAAAATGAGGGGCTGCAATTAAATGATTCCTAAGGCCCCTCTCAGCTCTAAATCTCCACTGCATAAATTCGACCTAAGTTTGAATCTAGGCTCTTCCCATGCACTACAACTCTACAGCTGACCTCTAAAATGTGGGGGTCAGGCTAGATCATATCAAAGGTGCCTTCCAGCTGTGTGGTCTGTTTCCCAGTGGAGAAAGAGCATTTCTGGCTGTAATAATCTAAAAATGGAACAAATGAACTTTCAAAACATGAAAAGAACATCTAAAAACATACTTCCCACTGATTAAAAACTAAGTGCTAATTATTCTACCTCAAGAGCTCTATATATAGCTGATGAGTTCCCAATTTATTCAACTGACACAAGCAATATGTCTCTATAAAGCCAAATAAGGAAGAAGTGTATTACCTTGCAACTCCTCATATCCCAAGCTTTAATTTCTGGGCTGAATCCTCCACAAAGAAAAACATTAGGCTCATTTGGATTAAATTTCACGGTGCTGATTCTAAATTCATTTTTGCAGCTAAGTAACTGTGTTCCTATGATAGAAAAAAAAAGATTAAAAAAAGGTTAGAAAACATTCAAATCAAAAAATAAATATTCGCAGGAAGTCATACTGAATGAATGAATGAAAGCATGAATGACTGTGAAACATCGGAACATGTTACCTGGTTAAATAATGAATTTCCTATTCCAAGAGGTATTAAAGCAGAGACTGGATTATGCTCAGGAACACTATGGAGGGGAGATCACATACAGAGGTGGGCACTAGCCTAAATGATCTCAAATTTCCCTGCAGTTGTAAGACCATAGGAATGAGAGTAGCTGCCCAATAGGAAGCCTGAGAACGAGACAAGGGGAATATACACTGGTTCTTTCTTTATCATATATGCTTATTAATAAGATATGATTGCTTGTTATAGGAACTTAAAAATTTTCACTTATTTATTCAATAGACATTTATTGAATTCATAAAGTCAGTGATGGAATGTCAGAACCAAAGGGGAAAAATCACTACCATGGTCATTTCAGTAACCCTTCTTATATTCAGCCTGCATGACTTTGCCATCACAACATCAATCATTCATTCCACAAACATTTATCAAGCATCTACTAGGTTATATAGCATCATCATCAATGGCAAGCATTTATCAAGTACCTACTATGTGCCAGGCACTATGATAAATGCTGGGGATATGAAGAAAGGCAAAAACAAAGTCCTTGTTCTCAAGGAGTTCACATTCTAACGGGGAAGACAACAACATAACAACAATTACATACATATAAGATACATACAGAGTAAATGGAAGAGGATCTCACAGGGAAGGCATTAGCAATGGGAGGAATGAGAAAAGGCTTCTTGCAGAAGGTGGGAATTGGGTTAAGCCTTGACAGAAGCCAAGAGGAGGAGGTGAGGAAGAAGAGCATTTCAGAAATAAGGAATAGTCTGCAAAAAAGGTGTCAGGAGATAGAATGTTATAAGTAAGGAACAGCAAGAAGGCAGGGAGGGGTCACTAGATTATAGTATAAGAAACTGGGAAGGCAGAAAGGGGGCAGGTGGTAAAGAGCTTTAAATACCAAATGAGGGATCTTACATTTTATTCTGGAGCTAAGAGGCAGCCTCTGGAGTTGACTGGTGTAGGAGTTAGGGGAAGAGGACAAGGTCAGACTTTCAACTTTAACGGCTGAGTGGAAGATGGTCTGGAGTGGGGAGAGACTTGAGGCGGGGACACTGGCCAGTAGACTGTACCGCAGTATTGGTGTGAGGTGAAGAGGGCTTGCACCAGATAACAGTTATGTCAGTGAAGAAAAAGGGACACATGTGAGACGCTGTGAAGTTAAAAATGACAGGACTTGACAACAGACTGAATATATGGGGAGAATGCAAGTGAGGAATCAAGGATGACAACAAAGTTTCATGCCTGGGTGACTCAGAAGATAATAGAGCCCTCAGTGGTAATAGGAAAGTTTGAAAGAATAAAAAGCTTGGGGGGGAAAGATAATGAGTTCTGTTTTATACATGCTGGGTTTGAGACATTATTGTGCTAGGTGCTAGGAAAGGTATGCAATTTAGCTAAGATACACAGGTCTTGCCTATGTGCAGCTCACAATCTGAAAGGGGTAGAGGTGGAGGAAGATGGTATAATAAATTTAGAAATAAACCTTCTATAAAATAGAACCTGTCCATAAAATAGGTATGAGCAAAGCACTATGTAATATCTGAAGGCAGAGGGGTCACCTCCTATTCTTTTGGGGGGAAGTGGTATTTAAGAAAGGCTTCGTGTCAGAAGGACATTTGAGCTGAGCTGAAATAGTTGGTTAGGATTTCAATCAACACATGTGAGTATAGTAATTTAACATTTATGTATTGTCTACTATGTACAAGGCCCTAAGTTCAGTACTGTGGGTCCAAAGGGAAAAGTGAGCACAGTCCTTCTACTCCAGAAGCATAAAATTTCTATGAGAGATGAGGTGCATAAGTTTTATACAAGGTAGAATCTGATATGGACAAAGGACAGATCTAGACAAAATGTCCTTGGAAAATCTGAGAAGGGCGAGATGACTTTCAGCTGGGAGGATTTAGGGACTACTTCACAAGAAAGCAGTACCTAAGTTGGGCCTTGTGGGGAGAAAAGGATTTCAACAAGGAGACTTGAAGAGGGAGTATTCCCAGGCAAAGGTGATGGCTCATATGAATGCACGGAAATTGGAGAGGGGCAGGAGATGATTGGGGAACCATTAGGAGTCAAGTTTGGCTGGAGCACACAGTACATAAAGAGGAGCATTGTGCAATCAGGCTGAAAAGACAAGCTGAAGCCAGTCTGTGGAGGGCCTAAATGCCAAGGTTGAGAGTTTATAGTTTAAGCAACAGGGAGCCACTGGTGATTTTCGATCAGGGAAGTGACACAATCAAAATTAGGCATAAGGAAGATTATTTTGGTAGCTGTTTGAAAGACAGATTAGAAAGAGAAACTGGGAGAAGTAAGAGTGGTTAGTAAGGCTATAATGATGAGAGGAGGTAAGGGTCTGAATTTGGGTGGTCACTTGTGAGAGGAAATGTGAGACATGATATTGCAGTGTTAGAACCTACAAAATATAATAATTGACTGGATGTTAGGGAAAATAAAAGAATCAAAGTTAACACCAAAGTATACGCAAAGGTAGAAAGGTTGCAGTCTCAAAAATGAGAACCACGGTTTTGCAAAACGTTTTGAAAGAATATTAATCATGAAAGCAACAAAAAATAGCAACATATAACTAATTCATGTTTTAATAGTGATACTACAACTAATGATAGCAGCTTATATTTATAAAGTACTTTACAGTTTACAGAGTATTTTATATAAGCTCTCATATAATCTTCATGTGAGGTCAAGTTTTGTTGTGGGAGGGGGGAGTAAGGGAAGGGAGAGGGTCTTTACTTGTGAGTTTATCAATGTGTGGAGCTTCTGGTGTCAAAAGCCCTCTACCAACACAGATCAGCAATTCCTTTGTGGCTTACAGTCTTAGAGAATTGCTTGGGGTATTAAGAGGAAAGATGCCTTTCACTTTGTAGATACTCATTGAATTGGTTGGCACTTGCCTTGTTAAGCTGGTAAATATTTCCTAACTGGATTCTGCTTGAAATACTTTAAAGTATTACATAAATGTCAGTGTTTATTTCATATTACTTCTCTTCATGTATTTTACATTCCAGTCAACCAAATCTATCTTGTGATGGAACCTATAATCAACTCATAAGGTATTACTTGAACTGAACCAAAAAAGTTGCCGTTCAAAAGAAGTGTAAACATAACACTAATTCATGAACTTCCTAATTGTTCTTCCTTGTTGCCCACATCATGAGTTCAGATATCAACCTTAATATACATATAACTTAACAGTGAAATATACAAAGGAAAATGAGGGGCATTACAGCTAGATTAAGTTTGGTCCCTTTAAGTGAGGGGTCATCTAATAAATGGAACTGCTGTATAAAATAACCTCAAATGAAATTGTTTTTCTTACAGTTGCCGTTTCTCCCCCTTTCCTGAAGCTTCATACTAGAACCCACCTTCTCCTCTTCCTTTCATGTAGGCCAGTTGGTAGCCAGATTCAGAAGAAGATGTACCCAATGACTGAACTCTCCCGTGGAGGGGGAAAAAATGTGTGGACTATTTCATCCTGTATTTTTTCTGACAATATGGGTTCAAACAACCCAGTATCAGTGAAGTTCCTGCTCCCTGGGAACAGCAAACGGGTCAGCTAATGGGCCTCCAGAAGTGTATTTTGACTAAAAATTCATAGCAATCTAGTCAGAAACATGAAGGGGAATGACAAAATCGCGGAACCACTGAATGTCGAAGAAAGACAGGACTCTGGAATTCTCAAGATGTTGGAATCATGAAACAAGGAATACTGAAGCTAGAAGAGACCTTACAGCTGTGTGGTGTGACCTGTACTATTTCTAGACACATATATATATATGTGAACTCACTAGCAGAGAGCAAAAACTTAACCCCCAAAGAAAATCCATGCCTGGCATTTCTATTTTTTCCAAGATTCAGCTCCAATCTCTTTGTTCAATCATATCCTCCTTTTCCCCTTCTTGTACTCTCATGAATTCAAGCCAAATTGGAAAGTGCTCTGCCCATGCACTCCTGACTCGGTGCCTTTAGCCAGATTTCCTATTCCAGAAATTCCCCTAAATGCCTCACTCCCTTCCTATCTAGCTTATATTATGGAAATATGTTTTTCATGACTTCACATGTGTAATCGATATCATAGTGCTTGCCTTCTCAAGGAGTATGGGAGGAGCAGGAGGGAGAGAATTTGGAACTCAAAAAAAATTTTTTAAATGAATGTTAAAAGTTTTTTAAATGTGGGATTTAATGAAATAAGTAAAATTATATTTTCAAAAAAGATAAGCATAGTTTCCAAGAATAAAGAAGTGAAAAGAACAAAATCTAACTTAAATATGCTTTCTTGAAGCATTTTTAACTAATTTCAGCAAGTCTCGCTGCCTTTTGAGGATGGCTTAAGTCCTGAAAAATCCTTGGCACTATATTTCTTCCAGCTCAGGAAGAGAAGCGATTGCAATATTGGGATCAGAGTTTTTCTGCTACAGTGGGAGTTCTAAATTTCTCTGAAGTAAAACATGGAGAAGAGACTAGGGGTTGGGGGTGGGGCGCAGAGAATCTCAAGAACTGAGCCCGAAACAATCAAAAAGCATTTGGGCAACAGGCAAATGGAGAAGAAAAAAATATAGCTGAGCTGCAGCAGAGAGGAGAGAGAGCAAGGTGTCCGACCACTGGTCCTACAGCTATCTCAGAGCAAGAAGACTCGAGCTGAAGCTACCAGCTGAAGTCACCTCTTCAAGCACTGAGGGGATTTTCAAAGAAAGACCTGCTCTTTCCCCACCTTCTCCTATTCAGTGTCTTATTTATTAACAAAATGATGGAACATACCCTGCTCACTTAATCACTCAAGTATTTTCCTGTAACCTGAATGTTGCCTCAACCATAAAGAGGCCAGAATTAGCTAGAGATAATCATAAATT